CATAAAGATAATATCACTGCTTTTGTAACGCCTTACCATTATTTATCTGATATTCTTCATTGTTCAGTTCGAATATATTTTTTTATTTAAGGTAATATTACGCGTGTAATTTCAGCTTCTTTTCTTCTTTACTTTCTGGTATATATTATATTTTGTATGTGTGACTGTGTGTACGTGTGTGTGTGTCCGGCCAAAGCTTGACTAACCAATTTGTAAACTGGCAACCCGGCATTTTTAACCTAGTGGTTATTTCGGGTTGCAAGAACCCTAATTCTTAGCAATACTTTATATATTTCTGTGTTAATTAATGAAAAAGGGTAATAAAGAGGATGTTGTTGTTGTTGTTGTTGTTGTTGTTGTTGTTGTTGTTGTTGCTACTGAATCAGACTGACTATCGGACGGACGGACTTACGGATTAGCTGACGGATTGGCTGAATGAATGAACAATGGATTGATTGATTGATTGATTGATTGATTGACTGACTGATTGAGTGATTGATTGATTGATTGATTGATTGATTGATTGATTGATTTACTGGCTGACCCACTGACTGACTGACTGGTTAAATATTATTAATATTAATTGATTGATTGCACTAAGTTTAATTGATTAGCTGATTATTAATTGATTGATTGCACTAACTTTTGCTTTTTCTCAATTTCAGTGATTCCAATTAGTTAACTAACTATTTTTAAATGTATTTCTTTCTTTACAGCCTGCTTTGGATTTCTTTGGTCGCCCAATAAAGGTTAAACCAAAGCTTACAGGTAATCAACTGTAAAGTATAGTCTTGTTAGATGCACGTGTGCGAGAATTAAATTAAACGTCTTACTTTGATGGGTCTGGGAGGCGTGCCGGGCATGTGGCTGGATCCTAAGCTTACAGTTCCAGTCCTTATCAATTTAGTACGTTTTGCAAAACTGTTTTGGATCGACGTTTTACGACAAAAAATTAAAACAAGCAAAGCGATGCAAACAATTTTTTGATTTTCTTAAACCTTATTAAATTCCACGCATGGAAAGTTATTTTCACAAAGATCACGCAAGGAAAACGTGCATTACAGTTATCTAAACTTGCGGACTGAATCAAAAAAGTACGGAAAATTGCACTATTTCTGAGAAAACAAATAGTTATGGTTTACATCAACATCGTAGTTTAGACCAGTGTTGTTGTGCAAAGAAAATCGTTACGTGTTTGTGGATATTTCTCATGAATTTGACGAGATGGCATGAGGAAGGAGCAATAATCCATCTAAACCGGACTATAATCCTATAATCAAAGATTCAAGTTGTGATGCTACCACTGAAGGGCCACAAGACAAACCAAACAAAGTTATTTCAAGTTGTTGTGCAAGAAAATGCGAGAAAATAGCAATTTCCTGGTAGATGAGCCCAGAAACAGGTCCGG